AGGGCGGACTGAAAAAGATATCGAGAAACAAGGATATCACAACCAAACCATCAAGAATGCGAGAAGAATGTATAAAGCGATTTCCGAATAATGAAGGAGGACGGGAAGTAATTTACATTTCCACTGATGTACCACCTCAATCTCCCGCATTACAACCATTCATCAAGGAATTTCCTTGCATATACACGTTGAGCGATTTTGATAAACAACTTGAGCCATTAAAAATGTTGAGAAGTACCGGTGATAATAAAGAATTGGGAAAATTCCTATTGCCGGTGGTGGATTTGATGGTGGCAGCAAACAGTGGATTGTTATATACATCATCAAGGAGCACCTATGGATCTTATATGAGATTATATCACAATTTATTGGTAAAATATTCCCGGTCGAAGAATATAATTTAATCTTTTAATTTTCTCCATCGTTTTTAATTTCAACTTACATATAGAGACATAAAATTCACACAATGATTATTTGACATCAACAAACAAAATAAACATCAAAACTACCGCACATTCTTAGATAATAAATGACATCATGTAATCACTAATCGCTTTTGCTTTACTCTAACCTTCATACTATTCTTCGGTTCTTCAACACATAACTATTCAGGTGGATCTTTTTGTGTGCGGTATATAAAGTGCCTACCGTTTATAAGTTTAAAGAATTTTTAATAAATTAATATAAAATAATCACATTCTTTTTAAAAAATTAGCAACTTATAATAATTATTAATCAAAAATTAGCAACTTATAATAATTATTAATAAAAAATTTTAGAAGCAAAATTATCTTTTTCAAAAAAATTTTTATAATATTTCTTAAATAGAATATTTATAATTTTTAAATATCTATTTGAATATTGAAAATTGAGATTTTGTTAAATAATTTATATAATTAATATAAGTATATAATTATTCAATTTTTTTTAATGCTATTTATTAAATTAGTAAGTATACTTTATTAAACCTTTTTATATTATACATATATTAGATATATATTACTAAAACCATATTCTTAATTAATTTATTTATCTTAATTTTTTATTTTTGTTTTTATAAACTCTAAGTACAACTTTGAAAATAATTTATTGTTCTATTAATAGTTTAAATAAAAATCCTTTTAACTTCTAATATTATTATCTACAGATATTACTTATTGAAGTTTTGATATAGATCAAAGTTTAATCATTTTATACTAAATTTTATTATCTTAAATATTTGTGAAAACTTTAGTTTTTATTTCCTTTTTTATTTTTTTAATTTTTTTTTATCATCTATTTTGATAATTTTTTTTAGTTTTTTAAATTTTTATATTTTTTATTTCAAACTTGTTTATAAAATTAATTGCAAATATTTTTTTATTATCTTTAATATTTAATTTTTTTTCTTAATTTAAAAAAAATTTTTTATAATACTTTTTTTTTATAGTCTTTATAAT